TTTTTTTATTTTAAAATTTTTATTAGTACATATTTGTAGTACATAATGATTTCATTCATTTTGGGCAATTGATACATGTACATAACACATCTCAATTCTTTTTTTCATATTCCTTTATATTCCCTTACTGTTGCCAGGATCAGTTTCATTTATTTATTTTATAAGTCCTTATAAAGTTAATTATTATACATACAGATTAACAGCCAGACTAACAGGCCACAAAAACTTATAAAACATATAATACAATTATACTAAATCGAGGTCCACTTTTAGATACATTGCTATGCTGGATTATAATAACTTTTTTCTATTTTTTTCCTCTTGTCTGTCTTTTATTTTGTATTTTATTTACATATTGAGTTTCTCATACAAGACAAACCATGTGATAGTTAAGCTTGTGTGTCTTACTTCACTTAACATTATGGTCTCAAGGTACATTCATTTTGCTACAAATGACTCAAGTTTATCCTTCTTTATGGCAGAGTAATATTCCATTGTGTATAAATACCAAATTTTCTTTATCAATTCATCTGTTGATGGACATGTAGGCTAGATTATGCTGCTATAAACATGGGTATGCATACATCATTGTGGTATGATGTCTTTTAACTCTTTTGGGAAGATGCCTAAAAGGGGTATACCTGGGTCAAATGGAATTTGTATTTTTAGTTTTTTGAGGAATCTCCATACTGATTTCCATAGTAGTTGTACCAGTTTACACTCCCACCAACAATGAAGAAGGGCTCCTTTGCCTCTGTAGCATCTGTTATTGTTTGATTTCTTAATTATCACTATTTCTGAGGTGAGATAAAAAATCTCAGTGTTATTTTAATTTGTATTTCTTGACTGGCCAGCAATGTCAAACATTTCATATATTTATCGGCTATTTGTACTTCTTCACCTGAGAGGTGTCTATTCATTTCAGATGTCCATTTTTTGATTGGGTCTTTAAATTGGGGGGTCTAATTTTTGAGTTTTTTATATATTCTAGATATTAATCCTTTGCCTGCGGAGTAGCTCACAATAATTTTCTCCAATTCTGTAGGTTGTCTCTTCACTCTTTTTGTGGTTTCCTTTGTTGTGCAGAAAACTTGAATTTGATCCCGTTTATTGATTTTTGGTATTATTTCTCGTGCAACCTGGGTTCTGTTTAGAAAGTCTGCCTATGCCTATGTCTTCCAGAGCTTTATCTATTCTTTTCCAGCAGATTGTTTCTGTTTTAATATTTAGATCTTTGATCCATTTTGATTTTAGTTTAGTGAGAGAGATGGGTCTAGGTTTTATCTTGAGAATGTGGATAAGCAGTTTTCTCAGCACCATTTATTAAAGAGGCTATCTTTCCTCCAGTGAAAGGATTTGGCCCTGTTGTAGTCAAGGTTTGAAAGGGAATAGATTTAATAGAGGACACAAAATTTATAGGAGTATTTTATAATATTCACCCAAAAAGTCAAATGCAGAGGAGTGCAAGAGATCTGTCCATGAACTAGAGAGCCAAAGAATCCAGCTGGGCCTGGATCCCATAGCAATGTTCCCCACGAGTCCAGTCAAAAGCCTAAAGCCCATGTCAATGTCCTCCATGAGTACAGTCAGGGGCCTAGAGCCCATAGGAATATCTCAGGCAAGTCCATATCAAGGATCTGCACCGGAAAGGCCCAAGAGCCAGTGGTGGAAGCTAGAAAGTCTGTGCCAGTGGAGTGAAGAGACTGTGCCACTAGGGTGAGGGATGTGCACTGGAGCCCAGAAGTGACACTTAAGGCAAAGGCCAGAGCTCCTCTGAAGAAAACAGCAGCCATCCCCAGTGACAGTGAGGACCCGAGCTCCTCTGACAATAAGAACAGCCAAGTTCATATCAGGAAAACCCAGGTGAATGGCTTTTGGATTGTCCCATCTCATTGACCCCTGGGTTTGCCTTTGGTGAGCTGGAAGTCTAGGGAAATTGCACCTTGTTTAGGTGTTTTCTCATTTTCTATTTTTAAAAGTTTAATTCCTGGCTTGATGCTTGTAAATTGTTTATGATGAGTAGCTTTAATGCAGTATTCAGAACCCTTAGAAAGGGCCGAGAATTTAGCTCAGTGGTTCTGGCACCTGCCTCGCAAGCGCAAGGTCTGGAGTTTGATCCCCGGTACAAAAAAAAAAAAGTACACTTTCAGAACCCTTAGGAAATGACTACTTCTCAGAGGTGTCTTCCAGGTGTATCTGGCTTTTGGGTTTTCAGTCTGTTGCAAGATCTTACCTTTTCAATTTATTGTGGATGAGGAGTTTCTGCCTACTTGGCCAAGCCACTGGTCCTTTGCCATTGGTCTATAGTTTTTTTTTAAAGACCCTTAGGCACTCTTAGTCTTGGTCAACCAGAAATAGCAGCTGATTAGCACAGTTATGTCACCTTGGGTAGAGTAGTATAATCAGCAGTAACAGTAGCATCAAATACAGCCTAGAAAATGACAAACTGTGGTAACTTAATTTGCCACCTTTAACCATATAAACTAGATTTGTGGTTATCTAACAAGATCTAAAATAAACCAGAAAATTGTATGCAATAAATAACCCCTTAATATGGTGATTTTACCCTTAGGAGAGAAGATTTTAAAAGGGTCGGGGAAAAATAGAAAAATAGAAGAAGATGAAGAGATTAGAAGCAAGGGTGGAGGACCAAGGAAGTTCATACAAACTTTGGGAAAATGGTGAAGACAGGAGGGAAAGAGAAAGGAAGAAATAAAAACCAGAACAGAACAATAACAACAACAAAATACTAGAAATTATGTTCAACCAATCAAGAAAAAATCAAAACAAAACAAGAACGAGAAAAGAGGAAAAAAAAGAAAAAGAAGAAAAACAGTCCAATTCAAGGCATGTGTCTGCTGTCAGTGGTAGACAATGTGGATAGACAGAGTCCAGAGATGAACTGATTAATCCTAGCAAGCCAACCATAGCTTTACAGCATGGTAGTGGATAATCCCAGCTGGCCTAAACCTTTAGTTCCACTGAAGTTCAGGCTTGTTTCTGGCTATGGCACTAGAACTGGATTTTTGGAGCCTGTAACTGTCCATATGGCTCCTGCCAACTTGAACTCTGCTCTTACTTCCTGCTGAGTTGGACTTTGCACCCTCACCGAGATAACTGAAATCTACTAGACGGAGTTGCCTTGTAGCTGTTCTGAGTTCCAAGCTCAGTTGGCCCCTCTCCAAGATGGCTACTGGCCAATCACCCTCTCTTTGGTGACATCGGAACCCAGTGGCCAGCCACTGCAGTCTGCTGTGTTCACTGCCCCTTTCCACTGATGTGTTTCTCCATGGAGGCCTCTGAGGTTGGAAGTAGTCATGCATCTGCAGGTTCGACCTGCTGTTTCCACACCGTGAGTCCAGGCTCATAAAGCAAGCACTACTTGCTATCTCCCTCCTATTCACTGACAGGTCTCTCTTCACTCACCCTGTGGACTTCAATTCTCACTTCAGATCCTTCCTGGTTCCCAGGGACCTACTTCCCTCCTCCTCCTCCTCATGCTGCTATATTCCAGAGTTAGGACACCAAACCTTGGAGAGCCTCTTCCTCTGCTGTTCACTACTCTGCCATCTTCCCAGAAGTCTCCAGAATGCAATCTTCTTTTTTTTTTTTGGTACCGGGGATCAAACTCGGGACCTTGCACTTGCAAGGCAGGCAGTGGAAACACTGAGCTAAATCCCCGGCCCCAGGATGCAATCTTGAACTCACTGTGTGGTGCTGGTTGGCCTCAAACTTGCTGCAATCCTCCTGCCTCAGTCTCCTGAGTGCTGGGATTACAGGTATGCATGACCACAGGCAGCCTTTATCACATATTATAAACACATTTTGTTTTGTATCTGCAGACAGAGCTTCTATAAGTCACTAACTGCCAGGACTGGTGTCAACTTGCTGTCCTGGAACATCAGTGTCCCCCGGTGCTGGGATTACATGCAGCAGGACCACACCTGGCTCACTCAGGCCATAATTGGTGACTGTAGGTTCAGAGTCCCTGAGCTCCAGCCCCAGCCTTGAATATCTTCATGATGTTTTTTCTTCTCTAAAGTTCTTGTATTACTTGGCAGTGAAACCATTGGGACCTAGGCTTTTCTTAGTTGGTCTTTTTTATTACTTTGTCACTTTCATTGACTGATATTGGGGTATTCATAATTTTTACATCTTCTTGGTTCAGCTTTAGTAGTTCAGATGTATCTAGGAATTTATTCATTTCTTCTGAATTTTCCATTAGAGTACAGGTTCTAAAATAGTTACTGATGATCTTTTCTGGATTTTGGCAGAATCTGCATGATTTTGCCTCTTTCATTCTTAATTGTGTGAATTTGAGTCTTTTCTTTCCTGGTAAGATTGGCTAAAGGTTTGTCTATTTAGTCTTTCAGAGAATTAACTCCTTGATTTATTGATACTTTGTATTGACATTTTAGTCTCAATGTCATCAATTTCTGCTCTGATTTTTATAATTTTCTTCCTACTATATGCTTTGGGTTTTTGTACGACCTTGAGATGCATCATTAGGTTATTTATTTGAGCTCACTCTGCTTTCCTGATATGGGTATTCATTGTTATAAACTTTCCTCTTAGAACTGCTTTTATTGTGCCCCATAGGTTCTGGTATGTTGTCCTGGCTTTGTAGGGACTAATTTCCTCTTTAATTTCATCTGTGACCCATTGATTATTCAAGAAGGTATTATTTAATTTCCCTCTGATTGCATAGTTTCTGTGGTGTCTTTTGCTGTTGATTTCTAGTTTCACTGTACCATGATTTGATAATATGCATGGGATAATTTGATTCCTTTGCATTCACTTAAGCATGCTTTATGAGCTAGTATGTGATGTATTTTGGAGAACATCCCATGTGGTACTGAAAAGAACATGTACTCTGTTTTTGGATGGAATGCTATCTAGATATCTATTAGGTCCATTTGTTTGAAAGTTTGGTTCAACTCTATTTCTTTAATGAATTTAATTTTTTTTGGTCTAGTTGATCTGTCCATTTGTGACAGGGGGGTATTGAGGTCCCCCATTACAATTGTTTTGGTGCTTATCTAATTTTTCATGTCCATTAGTGTTTGTTTTATGAAGTTGGGTGCCCTAGTATTTGGTGTGTTTGATGATGATAATGATTATCTCTTCCTGTTGAACTACTTCCTTAACTAATATGTAGTGACCTTCTTATCTCTTCTGATCAGTCTTGGCTTGAAATCCACTTTGACACTAGGATAGCAACTTCTGCTTTTTTCCTGAGTTCCTGAAGCATGGAATATTGTTTTACATCCTTTGATTTTTATTCTGTGAGTTTTTGGGGTTTTTTTTTTTTTTGGTACTGGGGATCAAACTCAGGATCTTGTGCTTGCAAGGCAGGTGTACTGCCACTGAGCTAAATCTCTGGCCCTGTGAGTTTCTTTTTGAATTAAATGTGTTTATTGTATATCGCATATAATTATGTTTTGTCTTTGGAGTCATTCTGCCAGTTTGTCTTTTGATTGAGGAAATGAGACTATTCATATTGATAGTTTTTACTGGTAGGTATTGACATATTCCTGTCATTCCATTTTTTTCTGTTATGATTTCCTTATATTTTTTCCTTTTGCTTAGCTGCTCATGCCACCAAATGTATTCATTTTTTTACTGTTGGCACTATTCGCTTCGTTGTCTTTATCTAGAATATCCTTGAGAATTTTTTGTAAGATGATTTGGTAGTCACGACTTTCTTGAGGTGCTCTACGTCATTGAAATACCTTATTTTACCATGAGTTTTGAAGGAATGTTTTGCAGGATACCTAAGTTGGGGTTGAGAGTTGTTATCTTTTAGGGCTTGAAACACTTCACCCCAAGCTCTCCTGGCTTATAAGATTTGTGTAGAGAAGTCTGTGGTAATTTGAACGTGATTCATTGTCTTTCTCAAACAACTTTTAAGACCTGTCCCTGTGATGGTCTTCTGATACTTTTAGTATAATGTCGAATGGAGAGCTCTTCTTTTGGTCATGACTATTTGGGGTCTTCTATGCCTCACTTACCTGTATGATTATTTCTTTTTCTATATTTGGGAAGTATTCTGACATTATTTTTGTGAACATTTTTTATGCCATTTGTTCACTTATTCCAGTTATTCTTAGATTAATCTTGTTTGTGTCGTCTAGCAGCTGTTGGATCCATTTTTCATGTTCTCTCTCTCTTTTCTTTTTTGAGACAAGCTCTCACTATGTAGTTCAGCCTTGAACTGACTATGTAGCCCAAGCTGGACTCAAACTCACAGTGATACTCCTGCCTCTGCCTTCCAAGTGCTGGAACTATAGGCATGTGCCACCATGTCTGGTCACTCTTGTTTTTAAGGTATGTTTGAATAGTTGGTCTTTGAAGGCATCAATGTCTTCTAGTTCTAAAATTCTATTCCCACATTGGTCAGTTCTACTGCCCATACTTTCAATATGATGTTTTTTTGATATGATTTTTAATCTGGATTTCTGGTTGAAACCTTTTCATGGACTCTAATTCTTTGGAGCAGTGTCCAAGTTAAGATGTGTTCTTATTCATGCTGGTAGATAAAAATGCAGTCAGAACCTGAATAAGTGCTGGATTCAGGCCCAGTAGACAGTAGGATTAGAGTGAGGGCACCAATTTTGGGACTTTGAAATCCAGAGTGATTCAGGCTGAGCCTGACCTCTGGATATGAGGGTGGGGCCTGTATCCTTTAGATTAAACCCCTCTGGAGGTCTCTTGCCAGCTTGACCATAGTTCCCTAATCACAGATGTCTCCTGTGGTTGTCCCTCACCCAGTCACTGTGGGAACTTTACACTGGAAGCCCTGAATTGAAGTCATCCCTCAGCTCCTCTAAGTTCCATGCTCAGTCAATTCCTCCATGTAATGACTTCTGACCTAGAGCTCTCTCCAGGGAGTATGACAGCCTCTTGGACTGGAGTCACTCACTAGCTGTGATAGGTCACAGAATTTGCTGGTCCATTCCACTAATGTGTTTCTCCCTGAAGGCCTCTGGAATCCCCTGCTGTCACTTTGTAGATTTGGTCTTCCTTTCTCATAAGCCAGGAGCCATGGAGAAAGTGAAGATTGTCTCTTTCCTTCTCTCTATTATGTTCTACCTCTTTAATTTCTGTGTAGGTTTTAATTGTCCTGTCAGATCCTTCCTGGTTCCTGGGGATCTACTACCCTCTTTTTAATTTTTCTTCCCCAAGTTGTTATTTTCCATTGTCTGGTTTCTGAGTCTTAGAGAGGCTTACCATTCTGTCATTTTCCTGGAAGTCCTCCTCATGCTTTCTGCATTCATATTTTAGCTATTTGTACTCATAGTCTTTCTGTTTACCTAACTTATCACACCACCCATGTATCCATCCATCTATCCATCCATCTATTCATCCATCGATTGACTGTGCTGGAAATTGAATCCAGGGCTTTTGCCTTTTTTATTCTTTATTTTGAGACAGAGTCTTACTAAGTTGCTAAATTGTTCAGACTTGACTGGAATTTGTTATCCTCCTATCTCAGACTCCCAGAGTGCTGGCATTACAGGCATGTGTAACTATACCTAGCTTTATAAGGAATTGTTTGAGGTCAGATTTCCTGATTCCCAGAAAACTGACTCTGAACCACAGCTTAATGTATTGGAAGTAAATTAAGGATCATCTTCACAATCAACATCTGAAAGAGTTGAAGTGAACATCTGAAGTATTAGAGGTATAGAAAAGTAGGACTGGGCAGAAGTGAGCCATATGAGAGCTCTGAAGTTAGGATGGCCCTTCAGAGTTATCTTACTTGAAGATATAGGGATCAAGCTTTCAACTTCAGCCTTGACCATTCTTCAGGTGAGGTCAACCCATAGACAGAGAGCATTACCTTAAGGCACTTGGCTCTTTTTTGGGTATAGTAATGCCTTCACAGAGATTTAGCAGAAGGCTACTAGCCACCAGTACACCTGGCAACTGGGGTAATGAATGTCTCAGACATGAAAATCGAGTCTAGGATGAGAGACCTCAGCATCTGCTACAGGGTTGAAAACACTGTAAAAACTTGTAGTTCTCTGGGGGAAGTGACTGCTGTGCCATATAGTGTCTGGTATTCTATTGGTTTGGGTGGGTGAGTGTGGCTTTTTTCACATAATCTGTTCTTGGGTCTTCTTTCAATTTGGGGTCTTATCTAGAGCTTTACATTAGAATTTTGGATCAAGTTCAGGCTCTTCTGGGGATATAGAACTGTTTTCTCTGGGGCTTATGGGATTCTCTGGATATGTGGGCTTTTTGTGATGTACACATATTCATTATGTTGGCCCAAGAAGAGGCCTGTACCAAGCCTTCCAGATGTGATGGGACTCTGGTAAACCTACCCTTCTCAGAAGCTGTATATACCAGAGTGGACTTACTTCTTCCTTCTCCTGTAACAACCCATTTCTCACTCAATGTGGACCTGATAGTCCTTGATTGGGTCATATGTCAATCTACTCTTTTTTTTTTTTGTACTGGGGATCGAACTCGGGACCTTGTGCTTTCGAGGCAGGCGCCGGAACCACTGAGCTAAATCTCCGGCCCTGTCAATCTACTCTTAAACTTGAATGTTGAAGTGGTTCTCTGTGCATTGGCTTAAGTGCTTCTATCTGCTCTGAGATCCCAGCAGAATATAATCATTTTACAGGATCATTTCTGTGCGTATTTGTTACTGTCTACTACTAGAGAACAGTTACACAAAGGCCTTTAGAAATAAAAGATGGCTCTACTCAGAGCCTAATAAATGACTACTTGTTATAGAATCAAACATTTTCATTGCTTAAAAAGATGCCTAGTGCCACTCAAAGGAGATAAGAAGAGGAATAAGAGATATTAGGGGTTATTTTGAAGATGGAGGGCCACTCATTGTGTATTTTCTTAACAGAGCCTTCTTCCTGAGATAGCTTAACCCCATTTGTTCTGTCTCTTTTCTTGTAGATCACCACTTACTCATACAACAAGTAGCAAAATTCATATTGTACTGCTCTTAAAGTCAGAGTGACTGGACTCTAGGGCTTGGAGCAACCACTTTTCTGTGCAGCTATGAAGAAATCAGGTAACCTACCCGAAGTTCCTCCTCTGCAAAATGGCCAATAATCCTGGTCTGGTTGTTCTAATTGCATTGATGTATTAATACCTTATTTCAAGAGAGTTATTAAAATGAGGTATTCTACTTTTGTCTAATTTTTGAATGATAGACACGTATGGATGGCTTAAAGTTAACTGTTTTTAGTAGAAATATTTAAAAAGCTATATTATACAATTGAAGTTTTTGAAAATGGTAACACTAAGCTCAATCTTTTTGATGATTTAGACAATCATCATAAATGTCAGTTATTATGTTTTGATGCAATATGGTTCATATAAACTGTTCTATCCATCTTTATTTTTGTATTGAACATTATACATCCAGAAGAGTGCAGATAAGTATATGGACATGAAGTGAGTCCACTTGGATAATCTACATCCAAATAAAGAAATAGAACATTACCTGCCTCTCTGAGAAATCTGATTCATGTTTCCTTCTAGTCACTACCTGCAGGACCCAGAGAAACTATCATCCTCATTTCTGACAACATAGCTTAGTTTCATCTTACACTCTTTCTCACTGTAATTACTTTTATTTAATAAGGAAAATTAATCATCCCTTCTTATTTATTTCTCATAGCCTTCACCTTATGTGTATTTCTTTTTTTTTTTTTTGAAACAAGGTCTCACTATGCAGTTCAGGCTGGCCTTGAACTCACTGTAGAGTCTAGGCTGGCCTTGAACTTGCAGTGATCCTCCTGCCTAAGCCTCCCAAGTTCTGGGATTACAAGCATGTACCACCATGCCTGGCTTTATATGTATTTCAATACTCTTTAATTCTGCCTTATTTGTTGTTTTTAATTAATTTATTTACTTAAGCTACATTTTAAAATACTAGATACTGTTTTAGGAATTGGTGATAAGGTCAACAAACATGAGTCCTACCCTCATGGAATTTAAATTCTAGAGGGAAAGATATATAATAAAAGTAAGCACATAGCTTGGTGCAGTGGCATGTCTGTAATCCCAGCTACTCCAGAGGCTGAGGCAGAAGGATTTCAAGTTTGAGGCCAGTCTGGGCAACTTAGTTAGAACCTGCCTCAAAATAAAAAATAAAAAGAGCTGGGAATGTAGTTCAGTGGGGTACAGCTCACTTGCCTAGCACATATGAGCTCCAGGGTTCAATCCTCACTAACACAAAAAAAGTAAATACATAAATTTATCACAAATTATACTACATGTTACGATGGGAATCATTAAAATACTGTGATAATAACCATGTGAGCTGAAAGCTTTCCCACACTGCTTACATGCATAGTATTTCTCCCCAGTATGAGTCCTTTCATGTGTTTGACAATTACTGTTTGTGCTGAAAGCTTTCTCACATTGCTTACATACATAGAGGTTCTCCCCAGTGTGAGTCCTTTCATGTATTTGATAACTGCTATGTGTGCTGAAAGCTTTCCCACATTGCTTACATACATTGGGTTTCTCCCCAGTGTGTGTGTTCATGTGTTTGACAAACACCACATGTGCTGAAAGCTTTCCCACATTGCTTACATACATAAGGTTTCTCACCATAAGTTGGAGGCCAGCCAGGGCTATATACTGAATTCAAGGCCAGCCTAGACTACATAGGGAGACCTTGTCTCAAAAATACCAAAAAAAGAATTATGTGTTTTAAGGTTTAAAGAATAGCTGCTTACAGATCTTAAAAACAAGTTTAAAAGTAACATATTTGTACATTTATGTAATCTCTACTCAGTCACTCATGTGGTTCCTTTGGGTAAAGATAACATATTAAATGTATAGAATAACTCCCCCCAAATACTATGATAGTGAACTGAAGCACTTATAGTAGACTTGCCAAGGAAGACCTTTCCCAGGAATGACATTGACATTGAATAAGAGCTAGTCATGCAAAAAGCTAGGGGAAGCAGGTTATAGGCAGAGAAACAGCAAGGTTAGAGGCCCTGGATTGATATAGAACTTGGCCTAACCTAGGAACTAAAATAGATCCCATCTGAAGGAAGGGTTTTGAACAAGGAACTATACCATGAATGAATTTGGAGGGGTATGAAGGAAATCGGAATCTATCACCTCAAAATATACCTCTTTGACATAAAAATCATTTTTGAGCTGAAGGCAATTAAGAAGCAGCGAATGATATACATGTATCAAAACATCAAAAATGCCATTAATATGTACATGTTTTATGTTTATATTTACCAATGAAAAAATAAATTTGGGGTTAGGTATAAAAGTCAGTGGTAGAGTGCTTGCCTAGCATTTGCAACTCTAGGTTCCATCTCCAACATTACCAAATAAACTGAACAAATTTAGTTTAAAAAGAAGTAGCAAATGGAGGAAGAGTTCTCTTTATTCTTCCCCTTTTCTGCCTAAAGACAGTAATGTATTTAGTAGTAATATATATATATAATAATGAAATCTCATTTTTAAAAACAACTCTAGAACATTATCAGTCCAGAAATGGTACCAGAAGAATCTACAAACAAAGCTTCTTTCATTAGTTTCTTCCCATATATTTATTCTCCTACAATTTCTTGCCCTTGAAATCCTAAAATCTCTTTCCTTTGTTCTGTTGGTTTTCTACAAATTTATTGTTCTTTGTTGAAGATGCTATATAAGCAGACTTCTAAACCACTGGTTTGAGTTAGTTTTCATTGAGGTTTCTACTAAGAGATATACACTACCTGTATTTATAAATTTGTTTATTTTTCTCTTATTAATCTGTCTTTTGTTACAGGGGTCCATTCCAACTAAAAACTCGTGAAGAACTCAAAGAAAAAATTTACACCTCCCCCCTTTTCAGGTAGGCAAAAGAATCTTCATGGTGGATCTTGCAGTGTATGGTTGGGATTTTGAATTTTGTTTCTGAGCAGTTGGAAATCATTTGAAGTTTTGAAGTAAGAGACTATTCTGATCTGATCTATGCTGTAGTTGCTATATGGATTGTAGACTGAAAGGGAGAGGGGGAGAAAATTAGAAGGCTACTGTATTCATCCAGATAAAAGGCACTAGTGCCTTGAGGTCCCGTGGCTATGCTTGCCTAGCATGAGTGAGGCCCTGAGTTCGATTGCAGCACTGGAAAAAAGGACTAGTGTCATAGGTCCAAAGTGAAGCAGTATAAATGGAAATAACCAATTCTAGACCTGTTTGGAAGTATTATATAGATACAGCTTTTCAGTGAATTAGATAAGGAATTTGATAGAAGGGATGGAGATGGGAGGCCAAGGATAGTAGGGGATAGGTGAGGGAAAGGAGGGAATAAGTTTGATCCCAGAGTTTTTTTCTAGGAGCAACTAATGAATGTTGGGGTCATCATTTCCTGAGGGGGGCAGAAAGCTTACCGTTTCTCATTGTTTATAAAATTAAGCATCGTCCTTGAAATATCCTTGTAAAACTTGCTAAAGCACTAGATGAATGTCAAATTAATGAAGTAAATTTACTCTATGATCAATTATTACTTGTATTACTGTCAATGTACTTGACTCTAATGAGTCCACGCCTTCAAATTTCTTATTTTTGATCTTATGAAGCCTGAGAAATGGTTAGAAAATTCTCTCAACTACCTGCAATTAAATCTGTGAATTGTTGTCAGTATCTGCAGCAATCTTTTCTGCTCATTTTTTCTAGGTGCAGTAGAAACTATGCTCTGGATCATATCTCCTTTAGCATTTCTATCTTTTCTGTCTATTTTCATTTTCTTCTCACTACCTTCCACTAACTCCTGTTTTTATAATTCCTTTTTTTTCTAGACTTCCCACTAAAATGTAACTTTGCTCAAGTTTCTCTCATTAAGACAAAACAGGAGGGGGAGGAGGAAAGAGGGAGGGAGAGAGATACACGCACAGACAGAGAGAAAGAGTGAGAGAAAAAGAAAAACAGACAGAGACAGAGAGATGGACAGTGGGATGTACAGACAGGGACAGACAGAAACAAAGGGACAGATGGACAGACAGGGACAAATGAATGGACAGACAGGGATGGATGGGTGGACAAATGGACAGACAGGCAGGAATGTATGGACAGATGGATGGACTGACAAACGAATGGACAGAGATGAATGGACAGATAGACACAGATGGACAGACATGAATGGACACAGATGGATGGAGACCGATGGATGGAGAGACAGAGACAGACAAGTAGACAGACATATGGACCAAAAGAAGTGGACAGATGGACAGAAAGAGATGGACAGATGGACAGACAAAAGGACAGAAAGACAGAGACAGATGGACAGAGAGACAGAAACAGAGACAGAGATGAACACAGAGACGGAGACAGATGGACAGAGAAACAGAGACTGACAGACGGAGAGAGACAAAAACAGATGGGTGGAGACCAACAGACAGACCAGCAGAGACAGGCAGACAGCCCAACATAGACAGAAAGAGACAGAGACAGACAAATGGACAGACAGAGACAGACAGAGAGAAAGGAGACAGTTGGACCACAGAGATGGATGGATAGATGGACAAGGTTGAACAGATGGACAGATAGAGGGACAGACACAAAGACAGAGATGGACACAGATGGACAGACACAGATGGACATGGATGAATGGGTGGACATAGATGGACAGAAAGATGGACACAGACAAGGACAGACAGATGCAGAGAGACATAGACGAACAGACAGATGGACACAAACACAGATGGACACAGATGAATGGACAGACAACGGACAGTGACAGATGGATGAATGGACAGACAACAGAGAGATAAACACAGACAGATAGACAGACAGTTGGACAAGGATGAACAGACACAAATGGATAGACACTGAAGGACTGACAAACAGATGGACACAGATGGACAGACATACAAACACAGATGAATGGACAGACATAGATGGATAGACAGATGGACACAGAGTGATGGACAGATGTGACGGAGACAGAATGGATGGACAGAGACACAGACGGACAGATGGAGAGAGATGGACACAGACAGATGGACAGATGCATGCAGACAAGGAAAGATAGACACAAATGGACAGGCAGAGACACAGACAGAAGACTGGGCAGACAGATGGACAGACAGACACAGGTGGGTGGACAGACAGATGGACACAGACAGGCAGACAAACAGGAATGGATAGACAGAGGCAGATGGACAGACAGATGGATACAGATGGACACAGATGATGGACAGAAAGACACAGATGAACATTCAGAGATGGATGGATAGACATAGATGGATGAACAGACAGAATGGATGGACAGACAGACACAGAGGGACAGACAGATGGACATAGACATGTGGCCAGATGGACACAGACAAGGACCAATAGATGGACACGGACAGAGAGACAGACACAGGTACAGATATACAGACAGACAGATGGACAAAACTGGACCGATAGATGGACACGGACAGGCAAACATAGATAGATGGGCAGACATACCGACACAGATGGATGGATAGACAAAGATGGACGGATAGACAGATGTACAGATTGGAGACAGACACAGAGAACCACAAACAGTTGGAAAGACAGACAGTATCAGACAAATGGACACAGAAGGATGGACAGATGGACACAGACAAACGGACAAACAGATGGACACAGACAGATACTCATAATCAGAAAGATGGACACAGAAGGACAGACAGACAGATAGACACATATGGATGGACAGATGGACCCAGATGGATGGATAGACAGATGGACAAAGACAGACATGGATGGACAGACATACAGACACAGATTGACAGATGGACTGGGATGGACAGACACGGACACAGACAGACACAGATGGACAGACACAGACAGAGACAAACAGATGGACAGCCATATGGACACAGACAGACATGGATGAACAGACAGATGGACATGGATGGACAGACATGGACACAGATGGACAGATACAGATGGATGGTATTGTTTATTCAAGTCATTCTTATTTTCTTTTTTTAATTCAATTCTTTTATTGGTACATTGTAGGTATACAACACAATTACATTTCTCATTGGGAATTGTACCTTTACATAATGCATCTTGGTTCT